AAGGAAGGAAGGAAGGAAGGAAGGAAGGAAGGAAGGAAGGAAGGAAGAAAGAAAGAAAGAAAGAAAGAAAGAAAGAAAGAAAGAGAAAGAAAGAAGTTACTTCAGCATGGACTTTGGGACTGGTAGAAAGTTTTAGTGGCTCTGGCAGATCTGAATGACTTAGTCCAGCAGACCCATCAGGTTTATAAAGTATAAAAGCAATCAAGAGCAGATGAGAGAGGAACAAAGCGGACAAAGGAGCCTGTTGAGTCACTCAAATGCAAATGCAGAAAGGTGACATTCCTAGTGTGAAATTAAATGTTGTGCTAGTGAGCCTGGAAGGTTTTAAAGCCAGAGCAATGGTTCGCAGAAGACATAATGACAAAAAAAAAAAAAAAGAAAAAAAATGAAGCTTATTCCAGGGGAAACCTAGAATCTATCTAAGTAAAATATGCTATATAAGTTGTTCCCCTGAAAGAAAAGTATATCGGATGTGGAGATTATCCACTTAGCCTTGACAGGTTCAGCAGCCAGATGTGACCAACATAGAGTCACCAATATAGAGCCACAGTGCTGACCTGTCAGAACTAGAAAGTCAGTTCAATAGCAGGCATAACAAGTTAGAATGGGGTCCTAGTCTCCACTTAGGCCTGAGTCTAAGAACCACCAAGACTTCTGGGGTTGGGGATTCCATGCAGTAGCATTACCCAGGGGTTTTCACTGAGGCAGGAAATCATTGTGGAAGTAAGTCCATTGAGGGCATATGGAGTAGTATTCTCCTCCATGTTGCTACACCAACACTGCTCTTTCCACAACCGGTGCCAGTGACGGAATTTTCCATACTATATTAGGCCTTTATAGTGTTTCTTTTTAGCGTCCTCTTAGTCAGTCAAGACCAACTAGCACTTGCTTGGAGTGGACAGCAGCAGGCCTTGGAGCTCCTGCATGCCCTCTTAAAACATTGGTTCTATTACATAAAGACAACTTTGAGCATCTCACACATCTAGAAAAACACTTAAAAGGACAGTGAAAGTAGCAGTGAAGCCCAATGAAGGTACACTGCATGGGTGGGAGGGGGAGCTTCCTCAGAGCTATGGTTATGGAGCAGAAGTTCAATATGAGTTGTTTGCCGGGTGGGGGTGGGGAGGGTGTTCCTAGAGACCCACAAACCATAAGGCTATTGCCACCACTGTTGCTCGCATGCCATAAGTAAGTGGTAAGATCCTATTGCTTAAAACACTGTACTTCTTGGCTCTAGGGCACAGAAGGCTGGAATAAGGGTGGAAGTGCCCTTCTGCTAGCTGGCATTCGCTGTTCGCACTCCATGTAAGGCCCAATACACGGAAGGAACTTAAGCCTGATACTGTAAGCCAGGACAAAATTTGTGACTGGGGAGGTCATAGACCCTAGCGAGGAAGTAAACAGATGTGATGCATCTGGGGCTAGTACTTACAGCAGAGAATCCTTACTGGTCAAACTTCTAAGACATTTAGTGTGCTACTGTGGCCTAGTAGCTCAGCCATAAATGAAAGAAAATAATCAGGCATTTCTATCACTTGTTCCATGACTCAGGAAACATGGTGGAAAGGGGCAGAAAGAGTGTAAGAGCTGGTCAAAGGTTTAAGTGTTGTGCAGTCAAGGGAAACTCACAAGACTCAGAAGCCATGACTACAAGCTCAGCAGGCCTCTCCTCTGAGTTACAAAAGCAGTGAAAATTGATGGGGAGAGATTCTCTCCAATAGCGCTGACTACAAATTGGGTAGAGAGCTCCAGGGATGCAGCTCTTGTGAATCATCACCCAGGCTGAAATGAGCACTCCTGCAGAGAATCCCAGCAAACACACTGACTCACTACCTAGAGTTGGGCGGAATCATTTCTTTGAGCTGTTGTTGGTGCCCAATCTAGGGTGAATAGAAGATTGTTCATGTCTCCCCAGGAAGAGTTACAGAACATCAACCAAGAAGTCATCAGCTCTCACCTCTGACAACCAACCTGCTCATGCTTCCAGAGCATAAACCTCAGGATTCCAGAACATACTACTCATATATATCAACCTCTCTGCTACGTAGTAATCTGAAGGCCTTTAGGAGAGGCAATACAGCAAGGTGCTTTAGCATGTAAGTTCTGGATCCAGAAATCTTGAGTTCCAATCTTCTGTTGACTAGTTAGGTCTCTTGGACAAGTTATTGTATGTACAGATTTTGATGTGCCTGGGTTAGAATCATTTCTGCCACACAAGAATATTTGAATTAAGCTGTATGAGGTTATTTAATGAAGTAGCATGGGGTTATTACTATGAATATCAATATTAACCTTTACATATTATGATGATTTGAATGAAAATGGCCCTGATAGGCTCACAGATTTGAATACTTGGTCCCCAGTTGGTAGAGCTCTTTGGGAAGCATTAGGAGGTATGGCATGGGGATGAGCTTTGAGATTTTAGAAGTCCATGTCACTCCCAGTTAGCTATTTCTGCCTCATGGTTGTGTTTCAACATGCAGGCTCTTAGCTACTACTCCAGCAGGATGCCTGCCTGCTGCCATGCTCCCCACATGACAGTCATGGACTCTAACCCTCTGGAGCTGTAAGCCCCAAATTAAACACCTTCTTATATAAGTTGCCTTGGTCATAGTGCTTTGTGATGAAAATAGAAAAGTAAGACACATATACCCAGGGTCAAGCATAGTAATTAGTACATAAATAGGCATTCAGTGAGACCCTGGGTTTGATTCCCAATATGAAAGAAAAAGTACTGGTAAAAGAGATGAAACATTACCATCAATATATCCCCTATTCATCCTTAAGTCACCTCATCACAGCTTCCAGTAACATATGTAACATTTCTGAAAATAAGAGACTGGCATTCTGGATCAAAGCACTGACCTAAATTTTGCTATGAAATTCATTCAAATACAAGTACCATAGAGAACTGAAAACGAGCCAGGTGGTGGTGGCATATTAATCCTAGCACTCAGAAAGCAGAGGCAGACATATCTCTATGAATTCGAGGCCAGCCTGGTCTACAAAGCGAGTTCCAGGACAGGCTCTAAAGCTACACAGAGAAACCCTGTCTCAAAGGAACCAGCATAGGATCAAACTAGACCCTCTGAATGTGGGTGACAGTTGTATGGCTGAGGCAGACTGCGGGGCCACTGGCAGAGACACCAGGATTTATCCCTACTGCTTGGGAACCCATTCTCTTTGGATGAATACCTTGCTCAGCCTAGATATACTAGGAAGGTCTTGGACCTTCCCCAGAGCAATGTGTCTTACCCTCTCTGAGGAGTGGATGGGGGAGGAGGAGAGGTAGAGGGGATGGGAGGAGGGGAGGGAGTGGGAACTGGGATTGGTAAGAGAAAGAGAGAACTGAAAATGAGAAACTGATACATCAATCCAAAAACCTATTATAAAGCTGATGAAATTAAGACACATGGCCAGAGGTATCCCCACCCATGGACTATCCCGTTCTTCTTACAATAACCACGGAAGGAGTTCCAAGCATTGGGGAGGTATGTATGTTGTACAGAGGAATTCTGCTGCTGTAGAGTCTGCCCCTGTGTGGAAGAACTGCCTTGGATATGGGTGGGGCTAAGCCCCTGCTGTGCTTGCTGAGTGGTGGGGCTCAATGGCTGCCCAGCTACCTAGGGAGAAAGAGAAAATTAAAGAAGGAAAGGTGAAATCCCAGTAGACTTAAGACTCATATTTAATATTTAAATAAGAGTAGAATTAATGAAATGCAATCATAACTCTGAAATACTATCTTGTTTTCAAAGGGTAACCTTCAAAGATATTAAAACAATTCATTACAATAAAATTGCCAGGAAGGCAAATGAGCAGCAGTATGCAATTGCTTCCATTAGCTAAGCTTAAAGCAACAAAGGTGAAACAGTTTGCCTGGTCACAAAGGCAACCACTCCTGTATGCAAACACAGCCGAGAAGTCATGATTTCCATTGAGCTGCCTTGGCAAATCCACCCAGTATAGAGCTAAGGACAGGCGCACACCAGCCATCTGCTGGAGACGCTGTCTCTAGATTTCATAACATGTCCACATGCCACTATTTGCCATTCAAGGCCTTCTGTAGTCCAATTCCTAACTATTTTCCAACTCTTTCCAAATATCACTTCTTGCTCCTAAACTGAGTAAGTTTCCTATAAATGTGTTATAATTTTCCATCTTTTTGTATTCAAAATGTTATTTAGAACAAAATGCCTTCCCTCAATGTCAGTGCCAAACATGTAGCCCTCCTTCAAGACTTAATTAAAAGAAAAAAAAAAAGACATGTTCTTGGTTTCCAGCTAACCAGAATTGCTCCTCCTCTGAATTGCTATACCTTTCTCTACCTCCATGAGACAGGTCTAACCTTATTCCACAATCCTTGTCCCAACACAGAAGCAAGTGACCTTCTCCTGTAGAATGGAAAGGCTGAAGTTTGTTTTGATTTTAGGATCATATACCACAGAGCCCCCCTGGGAAGCCAGTAACTTAACACAAGAATGTTTGCATAACAACATAAAAAGTAAGGGCAACAGAAAAACTGATAAAGAACAAATATAGTGATATCATCTCAAAGGTCAAGTATAATGAATTCCCAGCTATTAATCTGATGGTCCCAGGTGTCACCTCAACCCTCTGCATCATCTATGGGGAAGTATACCTGGGATGAAGATGGAGCTGCAGCGGTGGGCTCTGTGACCTGGATGTGCTGCACCTGGATGGCATGCTGCGTGTAGGTCTGCGGATCATGCAGCTGGCCAACATCCACTGTGGACTGCTGAGACTGGTGTGGGGAAGTGGCCTGGAGGGAAAAAAGAATGGGTTCCAAACTGACTACATACTAATTAAGGTTAAAAGAGATCCCTAGAGAGAAAGTTCACCTGGGAGGCAAAACTGGAAAGAGGTTTTGAGTTTGAGGCCAACTGGGGCTATGTAGTGAGACTCTATCTTCAAAATAATAAATTAAAGTCTAGGTGTGTAGTGTATGCCTTTAATACAACATTCAGGAGGCAGAGACAGGTGGATCTCTGTGTTGAAACCAGCCTGGTCTACTGTTGAGCTCAAGGCCAGACAAGGCTACATCAGTGAGCCCCTATTTCAAAAAAGCAAAACAAAAATGAAAAAAGACGAAACAAAAAACCTAAAATAAATAAATCACATAAGAAATTGTGAATGACAGGATTACAATGATAACTACCAATTTTCAAACATTTAAAACTATATTAGTTTCAAATTTTTAGACTAAATTATTTGAAAATGATAATGTTCACTTATGTCTAAAGTCTACTTTCTCTGTACTGCATAACTAAAGGGAACACCAGTTCTGGGAGACATCCTTCTTTCAGTCCCCAGTAAGAAGTCTAGTAGAGGAACACAGTTAACAGCTTTATCCCAAATGGAGCTGACTGTGGCTAGAGAGATGACTCAATGAGTAAGAGTACTTGTTGCTCTTCCAGAGGACCCAGGTTCGGTTCCCAGCACCCACATCTCACAGTCAACTGTAACTCTAGTTCCAGAGGATCTAACACCTTCTGACCTCCACAAGCATCAAACAGAATGTGTATATGTATGTGTGTGTGTATGTGTACGTATATATATATTCATTCATTCTAAAGGAGCTGATTGATGAAAACTGAATCAAAATTACTCCCTAAAACTTCTCACTGGAATAATTATTCAGTGCCCACATAGTTATTTCTCAAACTAGCTCATTAAGAAATACTCAGTCAGGATACTAAGAGAAAAGATACTCTAGAGATACCTACTTCTGGAAGCAGTATCCCTAGAGCTATACTGGCTGACTATGTACAGGAACTGAGACCTTCTGACTATAGTAGAAACCTCTTACTCTAAGTCCAGAGCCATCACGAGGGGCAGAAGGAAGAAAACAGTGGAGACGATATACTCCTAATGCCTCAAACCCAGCATTTCTAGGCAGCTGCTCCTTACATAGAGCCAATGATGCTTTTGTTGACTCCTGCTACCACACTGACCACTGGCAATATGGTGTTCCCAGAGGTAAAGAGAAATAAATGTCACAGTACCGGAGCCACCTGCACCACTTGAAGCTGTATGTGTTGAGGTTGCTGCAGACCAGATGCCGACTGAGACACAGGAATATACTGAATCCTCTGGTAGTCCCCCTGAGGTGTTCGGTAATCTGTCGTTAAGGTCTGGGAGAGTTCTGTCATTGCCTGCGTTAGCAGGTCTGTTGTCTAGAAAGAAAAAAAAATCACAACATATTAGCAACAACACTGTGGCAATTTCAGTGTTCTTAAATCCTACAACAATTCAGTTTGGCGCAACAGTGCATCATGGAAATACAAACTGGCCTGAGAGCCTGACTCTGGGCCAGTGGACCTGCTCTGGAGTATCTGACATTATCACTGTGAAGGGTAGCATTGAAAGTGTCCTGTTCCTCCTTTGGCAGAGAGATTTGAAAAGCACTGGCAAGAAGACCCAAGCATAAATATCGGGCTGAGGGCAAGTGGCCCCAGCTGCATCAATTAATAAAATGCTTAGCATGCATGGCGTTGGTGTTTAAAGAGAGGATGAGCCCTGAAGGGATACCACACGCTTCCTAGTCACCCACTTACCACCACAGTCTCTCCAGTGGCACTATCTGTGGTTAAGACAGCTGGGGTGGCGCTGATCACAGCTGTCGTCAGCGGTGTGTGGATGGTGTTGGGGAGTTGGGCATACTCTGGATGCTTCTTTCGAATGTGTTGGACCATCTTGGTCTGGAAAATGAAGGAAAAATAAACAATTACTGTAGCTAAAGCACGAAAAGGATAAGCTTAAGGCCAGCCTGGGCTAGATAGCAAGAACTTGTCTCAAAACAAGGTAAAAAAGACAATGATCAGAATTAGCCACTTTCCTATATGCAAATCCTCCAAAGGTTCTTAAAGCGTTTATTGGTTGCCTTTAAAATGTTGTCTGTTTGTTTCACCAGGCACAATGGTTTCTGCACATAAGGCTCACCTCCTTGGGAAGCTGTAGCAGAAAAGATCACTTGAGCCCAGGAGTTTGAGGCCAACCTGGGAAATACAGAGAGATCCTATCTCCTACTCAATAAAAAAAAAAAAAATCAAAGCATCACGAACAACACTTGAGAGGCAACCACGCTGTCAAAAGCAATACAAGGGTAGAGGATGGGGAGAAGAGGAGAATAAGAAGAGGAAAAGCAAAAACTAACATGTTTCTATACAATCAAGAAGGATCCAAAAACCGTACACTTGTTCCCAGGTCCCATGAATGCCGGAAGCAATCAGTCACTCTTGGTAAACAGAAGTGATCCCCTTTCAAGACCATCTCAGGTCCTGAATAGTGACTACACAGGCTGAGCCTGTAAACTGTGAAACAAGAACACTCAAATATAAGGCCCTGAGCAGGCCAAGGTAAAGGAAAGCAGCTAAGTGCTCAGACTAGTAAATAGCCGTAATTTGGAGAAGCCCACAACATTCCTACCCTCCCTTTTTTCCCCCTGTGGTCCCTGCCTTTATAGGTCTTCTAAAGCCCACCAATTCAGCAGCAGCCACGCAAGACACCTGGGTGAGAAGTGTATTAGAACACACTACTGGTGTAAAGTTCTGAGTCATCCTGGGTCAGAGCCTGCACCATACCTTGCTGCTATACTGCTTGGAACAGTGTGGGCAGCAGACAGGAGGGGTGGCGATGGTGCCAGTCAGCTGGGTGTGGGTGCTCAGCATAGGGTCAGGCTCTCCAGGGCCAGCAGGACGAAGTTTCCGAATGCTTGGTGGGAGTTCAGCTCCTGGGTGGTTCTTCAGAATATGGGCTTTGCGTTTGCTGGCACTCTTATAAACCTGCAGTTTAAATATTTGACCATGAAAGCAAGGTATGAGTCCACTTTCTTGCTTAAAGTAAAATAAAATAAATTCATTCTAAGGAAAGGAGAAAAATGTACTGGTGTAGCCCCAAATAAAACAATCAAGAAGCTATGGTATATGGCAGGACATGCCTATAATCTCAGCTCCTGAGAGACTGCAACAGGAGACTTCTGGCTGACTGCCATTTTGTACTATTCCATGAGTCTAAGGCCAGTGTGAAGTAGAGTGAAATCCTGCCTTAGGATAAGAAAGGCTGCTGGGTATGATGGACCACACCTATAATCCCAGCTCTCAAGAGGCAAGGGCCAGCCTGAGCAATATGGCCAGACCCTGTCCTAAAAAGACCCAGAGTTATGGATGTGGGTATTATATTTTAGAATAAAGTGAATCTAATATAGATATGCTAGGCAATTTCCTTGAATTTTCTGTATACATCTAAGACAATAACTATAAAAATACCCTTTATCAAAAGTTTAACAGATAAAAAGCATACCCAGCAGCCTTCTGTGTGACTACAACAGTTCAAACAGAGAATTCCACCACAAACCTTTTCACACCCCACTCAATCTTCTAGGAACCCCAATCTACCACCTGTCTTATAAGCTGACAGACTGTTTAACAGCTTGGAAATTTCAAATGAGTTCATATTCTAGGCTCTTGGTTAACTGTTCTCTATTGTGAACATCACAGACAGAAGTGATAATAAGAAAACAAAATCAGTAAATATCTTGGGAAAAAATGGCTTACATTTAATCATTTTAATTAATTTGGGGGGGTTCAAGACAGGGTTTCTCTGTATAGCTTTGGTGTTTAATTTTTTTGTAAAAAAATATGTATACACATGTATATCTGTGTATGTGCATCTATAATTGCAAGTATCCACAGAGTCCAAAAGAAGGTATTGGGTTCACTGGAGCTGGAGTTACAGGCAGTTGTGAACCACCTGATGTGGGTACTGGGAATTAAACTCAGGTCCTCTGCGATGGGAGAACAGCAAATGCTCTCAATTAACCATCTCTCTAGTCCCTAAAATATTGTGTGTGTGTGTGTGTGTGTCTGTATCATCCTGTCTATAACTGCTTCATATTTGTACAGTGCACATGGAAGACAGGAAAGGGCATCAAATCCCTTGGAGTTGCAAGAGATTGAGCTACCCAACACAGACAAGGGAAACAGAATCCTCGGCAATAGTAGTGAGTGCTTCCTCTTAACTATGGAGCCATCTCTACAGCCCTCGGCTTACAAGGAGGCTACCTTTCAGCTTTTCCTGTCTAAATGAAAAACCCCATAGGCATTCCTCCATGAGGTAAGCTTCTATTATGGCAGTCCAACCAGGAGGGTATTATAAACTTTTACCTTATCACAATACTGACAGAAGTAATCACGGTTGGGTTTTATGATGGGGAGGGTTAACTCAGGCACCTCTTCTATCTTCATGTCTGGATGCCTCTTTGATAAGTGATTCACCTGGAAAAGAGAGAAAAAGACACAGAGAGAGAGTACCATTACAATCAGAAATTAAACAACAGCTTTTAGTAATGAGTGCTAAAAGTTAAAACTCTGAAGCAAGGGCTATAGAGATAGCTCAGAGGTTAAGAGCACTGGCAGCATTTTGAGAGGTCCTGGGTTCAATTCCCAGAAACCTCATGGTGGCTCACAACCAGTTATAATGAGATCTGATGCCCTCTTCTGGCGTGCAGGAATACATGCAGACAGAACACTGTATACATAATAAATAAATCTTACATGAATTTTCTGAAGAATTAATCTGATGTAAACCTGGCTTTCATTATTCAATTATCTTACTGAGACTGCTGAATGAATACAAATTAACGTTCTATATTTTAACTACTATGGTGTAGGAGGTTTTTCTGTTTGTGTGTTGCTTTCATTGGTTGAATAAAGAGATTGCCTTGGCCTTTTGATAGGGCAGCCCTTAAGTAGGCAGAGTAGACAGAACAGAATGCTGGGAAGAAGGAAAGTGTGACAGATGCCATGAATCTCCGGCCTGAGACAGATGCAGGTTAGAATCTCTCCTGGTAAGCCATGACCTCATGGTGACATACAGATTATTAGAAATGGGTTGAATCCTTGATGTGAGAGTTAGCCAATAAGAGGCTAGAGCTAATGGCCAGGCAGTGATTTAATTAATGCAATTTCTGTGTGGTTATTTCAGGGGTTAAGCTAGCCAGGTGGTGGGACGCAGCCCACCACTCAACCTACTACACTACTATGACTCTTTAACCACCTTGAAATTCTGAATGAAATCTATGCCCTGGCAATGCTGAAGCATGCATGGGCAGCCCGTAAATAGAGGCTCTGTTGAACTTGTTCACATTGAGTTTCATGGTCTAAGTTGATGGGGACAACTGACCAGGTCTCTTCCTCAAGAGGGCATTAGATCTCAATTCAGATGGCTGTGAGCCACCTAGTGGTTGCTGGGAATTAAACTCATGACCTTTGGAAGAGTAGGCAGTGGTCTTAACCGCTGAGCCCTCTCTCCAGCCTTTGCAACTGCACTGGTCCAGCTGAAAGCAGTGAAGTATCCTGATGTTTCCCCTAATCTAGGACCACACTCCCTGCAGTGAAGGGAAGTTTCCTTATGTCATTGTTTCCTGAACAAAGAGGGCACTGATAGGGAACAGCAGGAAGAAGATAAAGACCCTACCAGAAAGAATATTCAACTAATGAGAGGAGGGAAATAAAACAAGACAAGACCAGGAAATCAAGGTAAAGAAAAACAAACTAATAACGAAAAAGGGTAGAGGTCTAGGGATGTAGTTCAGTGGCAGAGCACATGCTAAGCAGGTACAAGGCCCCTGGGTTCCTAGCATCAAAAGGGGGAAAAGGAAGGGCATGGAAAATTTCTTTCAAATCATCCTAACAGTGGTTCAGAAGGGTTCTGTGTCTGTCACAGAAAGGAAAGAAGCTCAAATTGGGGAGACTGCTTTTTATCACCCCTAGCCACTAACTGATACACCCACAAGTCTACTTTGTTAAGGTGCATTGCCACTGACAGGGAGGGGTGGATCTGGAGAAAGGAATTTGCTCATCCAGCACTGACCAGCATGCCTCTCCTCCGGAAGCCCATCATGCACAAACGGCATTTGAATGTGAAGCTGTCGTAGTCTGTGGACGTGATGCGTGGTTTAAAGGTCTTGGAGCGGCTGATGCGGTCAGCTTTCTTGGCCTCCCTTTCAGGGTTATGCATCCTTTGCATGTGCTCCCGGAGTTTGTCTTTTCGCTATTTGGAGAAATTTTGTTAAAAGCAGTGTAGGAGCAGGGATAGAAAAATTTTAATTGAAGGGTAATTTTTTTTAAAAAAATTAACACTGATTCCTGGGAAACCCATCAGCCACACCAGCCAGTAAAGTAGGTAGGCTAACTGCAGATAACCTCTTCCTCCTCTCCTCCAAATCCAATGCCCAGTCTCATCCTCAGCTCTGTAGCAGACCATCTACTTGGACATCCTCTTCCTCTCTGCCCCCATCTCCAGTGGAACAAACATATCTTCCCCTGCAAAGTCCCCTCCCCTCACCCAGACTTATCCCATTATCCCAGCCCCTAATTCCAGCAGGCATTCTCTGGGAAACCATCAACTAAGCCTGCCAGAGCAGACCAGCAAAGCAGGTGGGCGAGCTTCATATCTTCACTCCCCCTGTCTTTTCCATACCAATTCCCCAGTCTCAGCCTCAGATCTGCAGCAGACTACCTGCTGTGACCCTCCACACTCTCTGCCCTCATTCCCAGGGAACTAAGAAGATCCTGGTAGAACACCCTGCTTTCCTCCCACCTGTGGCCCCTACCAGTAAGGTTCTGTCTGGCATCTGGCATCTGTTTCCTGTGGCAGCTACATGGCTTCTCTTTGACTCCACCCACTCTCTCCTCCTCTATCTGCTTGGAATTCCTGCTTTGCTCTATTCTGTGCTACAATAGGCCCAAAGTAGCTTCTTTATTTACCAATGGCATTCACAGCATACTGAGGAGAATCCCACATCACCTCCCCCTTTCTGTCAAAATAAAAAGGTTTTAACTTTAATATAGCAAGATTACAACAACAAACCAGTTATGAAACAAGAATTATAGTTACAATATTTATATCTACTTTATCTTTTATCATAACTAAGGAAAACCATAACTGTAACTATCTGTTATTCAACTTCATCAAAGACTTCAGAAGGATATAATATTACCTAAGTGAACAGGAAGTGCATTGTAAACAACTTCCAAAACTCTAAAATTGGCACAGACATCTCGCTGCCTGAACAGCTACCCAAAGTTCTTTTGTAATGTTGGGGCATTCATCTTCAGCCAACAGGCCCATAGTTTCTGACAGACTTTTCCATGAAGCAGGAAATTTGAAGTTCTCTTATGCCTTGTACTGGCAAAGTTCATCAGTTGCTTTCTTCTGTGTCCTGCAAAATGTCTGGCAGTTCTCCTCTGTATGCTGTGAATGCCACTGGTTAATAAAGAAGCTACTTTGGGCCTGCTAAAGCACAGAATAGAGCAAAGCAGGAATTCCAAGTAGACAGAGGAGGAGAGAGTGGGTGGAGTCAAAGAGAAGCCATGTAGCTGCCACAGGAAACAGATGCCAGATGCCAGACAGAACTTTAGCGGTAGGCCACAACCATGTGGCGATACACAGATGAATAAAAATGGGTTAATTTAAGATATAAGAGCTAGCTAGAGTCATTGGCCAAGCAGTGTTGTAATTAATATACTTTCAGTGTGATTATTTTGGAACCAAACAAGAAGCCTCCACCAACAATCTTCCTGAACCCATATGCAACTGAAGGAGAGAGATCAAGGGGATACAAAATGGAAAGGAAGCAGTCAAAGTATCTTTATTTAAAGATGATATGATATAATACATAAATGACACTAAAAATTCTACGGGGAAACTTCTACAACTAAAAATCACTTTCATCAAAGTAAGAATCCAAAACACCTCAGCAAACTAATTTCTGCACAGGCAATGGAATGACCTTTCCATTCCTCCACACCAGGAGGCCTTAGAGCAATAACACTCACTCTTTGTTCTCTCAGTCAAATTTACATAGAGTCAATTCCACAAAATTACACAGAATTTTCTAAAGAAGACACCTTTGATAACAAACAAATCTGGGTGTCCCCAAAGGTGGATATCACAAAAGAGATTGGTGAGGAGAATAGCTGAGTCCAGGATTCAGGAACATTGTAGTAACTTTATCTAATGGTTTGGAATGTCAGGTATTTCCCCTTGGATGCTGGCTCTTTCCTGGGTGGTGTCACCTGTTCCGGAGTACTGCTTTGTCAAGTTCCACCTGCCCTCTTGTGATTTTGATATATACACTATTATAGTCTTTGCCTATGGAATTTTCAACTATGTCTGCAAAAACTAGAAACTTCGTGGAGATCACCCTTCTTTTTTCTTCTTGCTGCTTCTTTGTACAAAGGAATAAAGAACATGTAGCCATAAAGTACTAAGTTAATTTTTTTACCTTCAGATCTTCCCTTGCCCTAGACATCCTATTCTGAGCCCTGAGGGGGTACTGGGCTGGTCCTCAAGGTTCCGGATAGGATGCATAAAGACAAATTCAAATAGATCCATACTTATACCCTGCACGAAACTCAACTCCAAATGGATCAAAGACTCTGACATAAAACCAGATACACTGAACCTGACAGAAGAGAAAGTGGGGAATATCCTTGAACTCATTGGCACAGGAAAAGACTTTCTGAAGAGAACACCAACTTAGTGCACAGGCACTAAGAACAACAACTGAAAATAGAACCTCATGGATCTGAAAAGCTTCTGTGGGCAATGGACATGTCATCCAGACAAAGGGGCAGCCTACACAGTAGGAAAAGATTTTTACCAACTCTACTTCTGAAAAAAGGCTAATATTCAAAATATTATAAGAAGATCTAAATGAAATCGCCAAATAACAAGGGAAACAGAGCCCCAACTAGACATCTTATTATTAAATAAAGTTTCCAGTATCAGTAGTAGGTTACAGCTAATTGACTTGTTAGCCAAAGGGGTCCCATGAGAATCCCCAACAACCTGGCTGTTGCTAAGACTATAGGTTGCTCTATACAAACTGACAAGGCCCCATTGCTGAAGACAACACCTACACAACTCCTTGAACACAGTGAAGCCGAGCTTGTGCCTATAAAGAGCCTTTACCCCTACATGCTAGTGCCTTTGGTACAGGAAGGTTCTCTGCACACTACCAAAGGAAAACATAAACACCAACCCAGCCACAAACCCTTTGTCTACAATGATGTCCTGCCTGCAAGATGTGCTTGTGTAATGGTGGCACAATACTTGTGGGAGTAATCAATCAATATCTGATTTGACTTAAGGCCCATTCCAAATGAGATCCAACCCATACTTGACACTACTTGACTGACCAAGAACTTGAGATTAGATAGTCCAGGGACCTAGGGTAAAACCAAATACTAGTGTTCAAAAAAAAAGTAATAAAATGACTCCTAATGATATTCTGCTATCCTCATAGATGAGTACCATGATTATGATGGCGACATCACCAGAGAACCCACCTCCTACAGCAGATGGGAATAAGCATAGCGACCCATAGTCAGACATTATACAGAGAATAAGAGATCTTGGAACACTCAGCCCTAAACGGGATGTCTCCATCAAATCCCTCCCCTCAGGGCTCAGGAAACCTTGTGTGCACAAGAGGAGGCACCAAAGGCATAGGAGCTGGAGGGGATGGAGGACACAAAGGAAATGATGCCCTCTAAATCAACAGGACTGATGCACATATGAACTCACAGAGACTAAGGCAGCACATACAGGGCTTGCATGGGTCTGCACCAGATGGGGCCACAGAGCTGAAATAAGTGGACTCATGCCCCATCCCTAAGCTAGAATCTGACTTCAATTGATAACTACTTGCAAATAAAAAATTACGCTTTCTTCAAGGGATTCTCACTGGGTAAGTAAACTACTCTTTTGTAATTTATTTATTTCTTTTACTTTACTCAAGGGGAAAGCATGAACACAATCCCCCATTATCACAAATTCTGCAGTCAAGTTTGCTGCATTTGGAGAAATCACAGGGGTCAGCTCATCTGGAGTGCAGTGGATAAGCTTCACCCTGGGAAAACCATCTTTGTGATCATGGTATCTCCCCTGCCAGGTAAACAAACCATCTTAAAGGTAGGCCGCATGCCCAGTAGCTTTTTGAGACAGCGTTTCTCAAATGTATACCCAGACTGGTCCTTAATTTGCTACATAGTCTAAGCTGATCTCAACCTCATGGCAATTCCCCTGTATCAGCCTCCCAAGTACTGAGATTTCTGGTAGATGCCTCCATACATAGCTCATAGTGGAATTCTTCAGCGATTTCAAACATGACGATATACTGTAAGCCATCAAAATAAATTCCATAATTGATCTACAGTGGATGTACCACAAAGCTTAAGCTTTTTCTCTTCCATGTTCACATTCCATATGAACATACCTCTTACTTGTCCCCTCCCAATAATCTCCAGTTTCTTTCAACTTATTTAATTTTATTGATCATTAGTGTGGCAAGGACATTCAAGTACCACTAGCACACTTGAAGGGCAAAGGACAACTTTTAGGGATAGGTTCTCCCTTCCACTGTGGAATTCAAATACAGAACTCAGATTCTCAGGTTTGTGTGGCAAATGCCTTTACCCACTGAACAAGCTCACTGGCCCTCTTCCCAGCAGCTACAACAAGTTAGCCTCGCCATGCTTAGCAATGCTTCTCAACAACAAATACCTCCGAGTTTCCTGCAGACTTTCCCTTCATTTCTTCTTAATTCTAGGCAGATTACTAGTTTGGGTTTCATTTTGTTTTCTTTTGTGTTCACTATGTAGCACAAACTGGCTTGCCATTTACTATATAGCTTAGGCTAGCCACAAATTCAAGCTCCTTCTGCCTCTGCCTCCTCAAGACTGCGATTCCATGCCAAACTACTTACGTCTTATTTGAGTCCTTGAAATCACTGCATTCTCCAAATCTCATCCCTCTGCCCCGTCCCCTCAGACATCTTTCTGTATGTTTCCCCTCTCTGCTGAAGACCTTGCTTAAGTGACTTACCTGCAGGTTCTCATCTGATAAATATTTAACAACAACAACAACAGCAACTTCTTGATTTAATTAGTACATAAATAAACTGGTCTCTTAGGCCTCCGTCAATAACAATCTAGTTCTACTATCCATTACTTAGAGCATGTGCACAAAGCTATGAAACAAGCAGGTATCTGTCCTTAGCCTGACTTAATCCTAGGCTGGACAGTTCCCTCTGGCTGCAGGTTGACATCCTACCTTAAACTGCTTCCCACAGGTGGAACACAGGAAGTCCTTGCGGTCGGAATGCCGGAGCATGTGCAGTCTCAGCTTGTCAGGGCGACAGAAGGCCTTGTCACACTCGGTACACTGGTAGATCTTTTCAGAGTGGAAGCTGCGCACGTGCTTTTTCACCTGGCAGTAAAGACCAGGGGACGCTCAGGCCAAAAGAAAGAACCAGAGGTGGCTATGACGCTAGAGGGCACCAACACACCACTGAGGACTTTGAGGAGCCTGGTCATCATCAAGTAACGCAGGCTGTGCTTGTCACAAAGAAACAGCACAGGCCAGAGTCCTAGAATCTGAACCTCCCAGATAACTCATAGGGAGAAAGAGCACTGCCTTGATCTTTGTACAATTTTCTTTCCTTTTTAAGAAGGCTAAAATGTAAGGTTGCTTTGGGTTTTAATGAATCTTGCTAAATATTACCTATAAGAAAACAAAAGTCATTTGTCCTCAGTTTTGATTCTACACATGTAGAGGTAATTCTATATCATTAGTAACTGACCCTTTCATATCTTCCTATAAAATCAGGTCTGGAATACAACTCTGTATAACACAATTGCCTGCAGCCACACACACTCAAGGCCCTAGGTTTAGTCTCAGCACTGGAAGAAACGAGTCAGGTTCTAAAGAACGAAGGACAGGGATCAGATGACATTGGCAATACTACTTGTTCATTATATACACAGATTTCCTTCCTCCTCAGCTGGGCCATAGACCCTTCGTTTTCAGCTAACCGGACAGTTTTACCCTGGACTCAACTCCAGGACTTCAGTTGGGGAGGAGGGTAGAGGACTCAGGTTCTGATCTCTCTCAGCTATAAACAATGCATGAAAAGGCTTTGGGAAGGGATACGGCTCAATAGTACAATGTGTGCTTAACATGGAGGATGCTTTGAATCCAAGAGCCAGCACTGTGTGGGTGGTGGGGGTGGTGATGGTAAGTAAGCTGTAGACAGTTTAGTAGAAAATCTACTGAACTGTTCCTTTAAAGCACTTGGCTTCCCCAACATCAGAGTTCCTTATCCATTGCATTATGCCTCAACAATTTTCTAACTATGTGGAGAAAAACTTCCCAAGACTCTCATTGTTAGAAGAAACACAATTACGCCAGGTGGTTGGTGGTGCATGCCTTTAATTCCAGCACTTGGAAGGCAGAGGCAGGTGGATCTCTCTGAGTTCGAGACCAGCCAGGTCTTCAGAGCTAGTTCCAGGACAGGCAGCAAAGCTACAGAGAAACCTTGTCTTGAAAAAACAAACAAACAAATAAACAAACAAACAAAAAACAACAAAAAAGATCTATGATTAAATCACAGTTCTTTTGCTTTTGTAATTTCTAAAGAATATTTTATGAGATATTATGATTTAATTATTTACTGAATATAAAAATATTTTTACTCAAAATTAAATTTTGCCCAAGTACTACAGAAAAGATAGTAGACACAGCAGCATCTTATATGCCAACTCTCTGTTTCTTTTCAAGAAAACCTTAGTAAAGTAAAACAGAAAACCAGAATGGTAGCGAGATGCTTCCCATACAGATATAAAGAAATATGTTCTAGAGAGTATATGCTATTTTATGAGTAATGGATATTTGACAAAGATTTTTAAAAGAACTTTTTAAAAATAATAACCAGATTTGGTATTTCCAAGATTTTTTTCTTACATTTATTTTTAGTGCATGTGTACTACGATGAACATGTGGATATCAGAGGACAATTTGCAGGGGGAAGTTCTGTTACGATTCAGTCACAGCATGGCTGACATTTCCAGGTTCTAGGGCCACGCATGTGCAGACAAGCCTTCAGGCAGAAGTGCCTAATGGCCCCAGGTATCTTAAAGGACCCCGCCTGACCCATGGTTGCACCATCTACATATGACGCAGCTGTGTGAGCCCTTGTGCACATATGTGAGCTGCACATATGTGAGCTCCGTCATCTGCGTATGTACGCATGTCCCTCTGCGCATGCGCTAGGCAGCCTTTAAAAGCTGGATGAGCCATCTTCAGCTCTCTCTCTCTGCACACCAACCTCACCAGATCTGCATACCGCCCCCCTAATAAACTCCTAAGCAGGTCTGTTGCGTGTTCTGTGTTTCCTTCTCACTCACGCCAGGTAATTTCAAGTTCTCATGTGGGCTCCAGGGATTGAACTCAGATTTCTGGGCTTGATAGTAAGCAGCTTTACCCCCTTGGCTATCTTGCCAGCCCAAAGCTCATGTTTATTACTAGAAATATAACTTAAGAATTTAAACAATACCGATCCTGAAAGCTAAGGAAAAAAAATATTCTGTATGTTAAAAGTAGTTTGAAAACTATTGCAGAGATACTTAAAAAAAATTTTTTTAAAAAGATGGAAATATAGGTGCTGAATGGCCTCGGTTTTCCAAAAATTGAAGTTCCCTTTACAAAAAATGGGAAGCAGACAGGAATCTCAGGCGCAAATACTCACCTGGATAAAATCTGGGAATCGTTTCTTACAGGTTGGGCAGGTGAAGTAGCCATCATTGATATGAATGGCCACATGATCTTTCAACAAATCAAGGCGGTCAAAGGATTCTGGGCAAAAAATGCAAGAATAAGTCTTCTGGTCGGAATGGAGCTTCATGTGGCTCTCCAGGGAGGCGCTGCTGATGAAGCCCTTGTTACAGAGATCACAGGTCAACGGGCAGTTCCCCTCCCGCCCATGGAAGCGCAAGTGTTGGTCCAGTTTGTCCTTTTCCCGGAAGGCTTTCCCACACTGCAGACATTTAAAAGGCCGGAAGGACTTCCGGATAAACAGATGCTGAAGAGCTGCATTCTGAAAGACACAAACAGGACCATGTGGTGAGGCCCAAGAGTGACAGCCACAATCAGACTTCCTAGAGAAGCTGAACTCAGCTCACACAAAAGGAGACTGACTGCTGAGAGCAGTTCAGGCTGAAGCTATCCCAAAGAAGTTGGTCTTGAAGAGACACCGTTTGGGGTTTCACTTTATATCTCTATGTGTCCTTCCTTTTAAAAGGATATAAGTACATTTCAAAGCTTTTTTTAAAAAAACACAGGGTCTCACTATATAGTTCTGGCTGTCCTGGAACTCACAGAGATCCGCATGCCTCTGCATCCCAAGTGCTAGGATTAAAAGCGTGCGCCACTACACCCTGCTTAAAACCCGTTTTCAACAGAAAACTAAAAGAAAGAAAACAAACCTAGAACAGAACAAACAAAAATTGGAAATTTGGAAGAAAGAACGCGGGTAAAACATACATGTGTGAATGAGACTAGAATATGTCAGTTAAAAGTCCTTGATGAAGGAATCTGAAACATTTCACAGTAAAATAACAGGAACTGAAGAGCAATCAGATCTTTCAGGGGATTGGGGCGGGGGGGGCAGAGAAAGAAATAGGTATGGAGTTTCTTTGGGCATAAAAAAATTGAATCAGTGGATTTTATGCAATGTGAATTACTGATATCAATGTAAGAAAATAAGGTGAAAGGGAAATGAAGATTTATGTGAATGTATTTGTGGGGCGTGACATAAACATACCATAAATTGAATATTGAAATATATATATATATATATATATATATATTCAGAGGTTAAAGAATGTGGAGGACCAGTTCCCCCCCGTAGTTGGTCAGTCCTAGCTAGAGTGCCGCCTACCAAAGCTGTGCTCCCTGCTGTGCTTCCAGTCTAAAGAGCTCAATTTTGCTTTTTCCTTTTCAGAACGAATTGCCCTTCTAGGGCTGGTCAGCTATCTTGCAAATCCATGCAACTGTCAGAGGGACTCCTGGCCAGAAAAGATAGATAGATGCTCAGTGGAATCTGTCACAGCCGCTAGACAAACAGCTGGCGCTCCACTGAGAGCAAATACCTACAGAAACCTTTCACACAGAGAATACAGAATCAATATTTATTTGTGCTACAAGGAAGATTCATTCCTATGTTCCTCAAAGCGAGGAGGGCAGAGGTCTAGATGGCTTTATGGTGGGGAATCCTTCAGAACACACCTGTAAATGGGTGCTCCTGGGCAGCTTTAAGGGAAGAGTCACTGAAAGATTAATGGGGGACACAAAATGTTTATTTTTGATTCACGGAAATTTCTGGGCATGGTGCAGTTCACATAACAGGAAACTGTCTCTCCAGCCTTCACTAACAAGGTAGGAGAGACATTTTAAGGTGTACCTAGTCACTTGCGAGGTGAATGACAATTCTGTTGTCTGCCTAAATTGACGGGGACTGCTTGAAGCATAGGAGTAGGGCCCCACATTTTATCCCTTTTTGTGTTTAGATACCTTAATAAACTACTTAGTCACAGGAAGTTTCACATATTGACTTGAAAATTAATAAAATATACTTCAAATAAAGCTCTAGAGTTATTCCTAGGTCCTTTCCTACAGCATCCACGAAGATCCTGAAGAACAGATCTTTCATGAATCAGCCACAGTTGCTTTCATTTCCTTAAGCTGCTTGGCAGCAATCTAATCTTTTCACTTTATCCTGACACACTCTTGGCACGGTTCTTCCTGTTTCCTCTCCTCTCAGAATGCTATGGCGAGACGCCAGGTAAACAGATGCTCTTCTCAAGCTCGCTGAAGATGCGGGATCTGAAGCAGGTCTACCATATGAAAATCTCTTCCTTAATCAGACCGCAGTCAAGTTACCAAAGACAGACCTGCTGCACAATAGTGGGTGTTCCCACAGGGGACTCCATTTTTCCTGGTGCCAAATCCAGAGGTCGGCTTCACTTTGCTCCGTTATGCTCCCCAGTCTCCTGTCACTTCTGATTAGCGTGAGAGCCTACAGGCACCTGATTTGAATGGAGCAGCCACCTGGTCTCCTTCCTTAGTTCCATCGCAACTCTTATCATCTGTGTTGCTTGCACAGAGCCCTGCACACTGTCTGAGTGCTCGAGAGCTGGCCTGCTTCTATAAGAGCTAATGGCACTCATGTTACAGGGCAGTGAAAGTACTGGACTACCCCCACCTTTGACCCACTTACAGGCTGGCACTGCTCTAAGGTAGTTTCCCTGGCACACAATGGGCTACCCCCACCCTTGACCTACTTGCAGGCTGATTCTGCTCTAAGGTAGCTCTTTTGTGCATAGCCATACCTGGGCCGCTTCTAGAAGAAATCATCCCAAACAGGGAGGCTGCACACAGATGCATTACGGGTCTTCTAATCCCTGAGCTCTGTTAGTCAGTGTCACCACATCTTATAGTACATTAGCTGCTCAAATACTGTCAAAACAGTATCTTCCTTCTAGCTCGACTACGTGACAGCGAATTCTGAGAAGATTCTTCATTTGTACAATGGTTCTAATGTTTGAAATAAATAGCTGAGGGAAGTCACACTATTGATTTATTTTCATATTATTTTGATTCTGAGTCTAAAGGCAATGAATCAGCTTGTTGTTGGGTTTTGATTATGGTAAAAAAAAAAAAGCAAATAGAACAAAAAAATCTTCAGTTTATTATGCAACTAACTTTCAAAACCTCCGGTGGGCTAACCCTGCCCAACACACCTCACTCTCCACTCTCCTTCACCTGACACCCATACCAGAGTCGAGATACTATTTGCACTTGTCCCATAAGGGCACCGAGCACATCTTGTGCCTGGGCCTCTGATCCTATGGCTGATTTCCTATGGAGTTATCTACCTTCCACAGGAAGATAGTTTCCCAAGGGCCTGTCTCCTCCTATCTACAGATTCTTTTCTGACTTCCCCATATTTGGCCCTTTATTCTTCTCATTTCCCAGAGCAGTCATGGATTGCACTTGTATATTTGACACAGAAATGTGAAGAGTCCTCTGTGAACGCTGGCTCCTTGTTAGCCTACAAGCCCCTAGAGGCCCGAGCTGTGTTGGTTGCCCAGATACTGCTGAACATGCAGTCCAAGTCCAGCACCATGACAGAGATCACTGAAATTGTTCCACAGCTGGAAGGGGCCATGGAGATCACTTAGTCCTAGTCTTCATTCGCACAGGAAGACTCTGCAGCCCACAGTTTACTCATTCGTCTATTTGCAAATAAATTCTCATTATTCATTAATTTGCATTTAGAGAGGCATCCAAATTGTGTTTTCCATCTGGATTTAGTAAGTACAGGATGCAAAGAACAGCAGGTCAGCAAACACTTAAATAACATTCTGTTATGTGAAACACAGGAAACAAACCTACCTGCAGCTCCAACTGAGCAGGCAGCATTAGAGGAGAGAAAAATAGTTACATTACCAATTGGATTGGAAGACTTCCCTTCAGTTGGTCATTACCAATCTGGATAAAAAGATGAAAAAATATACAGCCCTACATTTTAGAATGTATGAGGGGAAAAATCAAGACAGATCAACTAATATTAACCTCCAAAGGCTTCACACATGTGGCTTCTGCTTCGATGTAAAGGAACTTGTGTTGGAACCAGTACCCCGCCTCTTGAGAACCAAAATGCACAAACAGCTATTCTATGCTTGCACATTCCCAGCTTGACTACTGTGTAAGCTTTTCTTTGTTTTCCCTTCAAAACAATTAAATGGAGCAAGCATTTTCCCTCAACTTGGTAAGACATCTGAATTACCACAGGTCAAGTAACGGTAAGTGGGCAAGAGGACAAGTGTAAACTGGGAAGTAATATAGAGTGATGAATAAGAAGACACAATTTCTGTCTTTGGTCACACAATTTCTCTTCAGGGCCTATATTCATGAATGCTTGAAATTATATATAGAGAGACAAAAGTTAGATGTATTTCAATTATCATTCATTCACACGATTTTTTTCAGGCCTTTATGAAATTCTTGAAGTGATACAGAATGAGCTGAGAATTGTATATATTTCAATTCTAGGACCCTCATAAAGGATATTTAAACAGTTTTCAGAGCCCTTTGAGGCTATCATGTGAAGAATGTGTAAATATACTAGTAAATGAAATTCATTTCCTAGGTCCCTTCTAGCTTACAGGAAAGAAGCAGACCAAAAGAGGGAACGGACCCAGTCTCTCTCATTCACAGCAAGACCGCAGCCAGGAGTCACTATCCCTGTCTCTGAGGCACACCTTTAATGCCTTGACTAATCACCGTTAGAAAGAAAAGAAGAAAAGACCAGAACAAACCGAAGCTAATGATCATCCATCTAGAAAATCTAAAAGCTAGAAAGTTTTACATGTCTCTTTTATGGATAAGACAAGCATCTTCAAATCTTTTTACACACTAGCTGCCACAAGCACAGGCTTGTATCATTGTTGTCGAAATAGACATCGCACCAAACCATACTGCTTCCTATACCCACTGCAGTTCCTAACTCAGGCTCAAATGCAACCCACAAAATAACAATAAAAAAAAAGCAGGTCAGAAATGGAAGGAATGAACCTCTGCAGCACACAGTCTGAAGACGAGACACAGGCCACCCAGCTGATATACTGACCAGCTCCCAAACGTGATGCTCTGTTTTAAGCTGTACCTGGCATGTACCCTGAATCTGACACTTGCTGGTCTCCCTAGGAAACCACAAATAACTACATCTAGTTACTCATAATTTCCTTGAGAGTTACGATTAGACAGAGATGAAGATGGCTGAAAATACTAATATTTTAGGTTGGAAAATAGAGCTCAGGGGAATAACCCCTGTTCAGCCTGTGTAAGGCCTTTGGTTCAACCTATAGCATGAGAAAGAAAGAAAAAAAGGAAGGAAGGAAGGAAGGAAGGAAGGAAGGAAGGAAGGAAGGAAGGAAGG